CCCCCGTATCAGGCTGCTCCATCTTTCTCAGCACTGGCTGGATCCTGAACTTGCCTCCACTGGTTTGGTTTATTTATTATTTTGGGATGAGTGTAGCTTCCCTCGTGCAGAGCCTGTTGTAATCACGTAAACGACGGTAAACTATGATGGAAGAGCACTTTTTCCCCCAAAGCAATGGATTTACCTCAGGGTTTTTACACATGTTGTTTTCCTAGCTCTAAAACATGTGCCAACAGAAGCCTTCTCCTGCTTTATAGCACTTCAGTGAAACAAGAATGAACTTTCTGCAGTGGATACATTTTATTAGAAAAGGATCTGCTTTTGTGATCATGGAAGTACTTTTTACAGGCTGATCCGAGGGAAATTGTGGTTTATCAAGTCAGACATGGACAGAGAAGCCATTATTTCAGATTCTGGTGAATAGGTCATTCTGGCCAAGGTCTCTCTCTGGGACTGGTAGTAAGCCACTGTGAATATTATGGATTTTGCATTACACGGAGATTCATGGCTCTCCAAAGCAGCGAAGCCTTTGCCAAGGTCCAGTGGTTTATTCTGGCATTAACTGATGCAACTGAACTCATTCTGACTACAACTTAGCTGCAAGTGGAGCCAAAGACAAGCGTGCTCAGCTCTGTTGTACCAAACGTGGTTAAATCCTGCTGGCAGTGAGGGCAGGATGAGGCCATTCCCAGCCAGAGATACCGACCCTGCCCTCCAGGTGCATTCTTCGAGCCCTGTTTTAAAATATATGGCATTGTACACCCTACCATTAAATACCGACTGAATGTGCTGGCCTTGTAAAGTAATCATCTGAGCAGGCTTTGTGAAACTCTGCAGTTCTTGGGGCTCTGAGGATGATGAAGCCACAGGTGATAACATGCGTATTTATATACTGGAGTCCGTAAAGGAGCAAGGAAATCACACGATGAGCAAGGTAAATGTAGCCCAAAGCTTGCAGCCTGTGGAATCCATTCAAGAAGCGGAGCGTAATAGTGACATGGCACCAGGTCACCGGAGCACTGTTGGATGCCAAGATGCCAGAGACAAATGAATCACCATTGCTATTACTTTCCTGGATTCTATTTTACTCTAGGAATTTGCCTCTCAACAGCCATGTAGGAAACAGCACCAGCCCCAATCTGCTTCTTTCAAGTGCAAGAACTAATCGGGCTCTTTTGTTCAGAGGGAAACCGATTTAAACAGATCCCACGTTATGAATGGCGATGCGGTGGGAGACAGGATCAGCACCCTGGTGTGGCCACAGCCCGTGTCTCCGTGGTTTGGCAGAAGCCCACCAACCTCGTACGTGCCGTTCCTTCTGTCGCTGCAGTCCCCGGGGGAGCAGAGCTGCCGCTTTGGAGGCCGTGCGTTTCCTGCAGCCCTCTGTGATCTCTTTTGTGTGAGGCCCCTGCGTCTCTGCGCTGTCTCGGGCTTCACTGAGGACTTCCCTAGCAATCTCTGTCTTGACACCTTCAGTACTCTTGGCCCAGCCACAAAGAACCGGTGAGGAGCTCCACTAATACACAACTCTCCATGCCCATCGGACACGGGGACCGGGATGCTCTTGCAGCCTGGGATGTACTGCAGCCAGGTTTGCCTTCTCCGTTGCTAAACACACGTTAAACGGAGGAGTAACAATCACCGAAGTAGGAGGGTCTCCGCTTCAAAGGGACGCAGACATCTTCTGAATATCAGAAACAGAGAGAGAGAGAAAAAAAAAGCGGATGCCAGGCAAAAAGTTCACCTGTCTTGCTGCTACAGACGCATCCGTCATACTGACTCTGGCAACCCTCCATTGACCCGAGAGCGCTGCGGTGTTGAGCAGAACTGGCTTTTGGGTGGTAGAGAGCATTAGCCCTGCACCTCGTGGCTTCGTGATCAAAGCAGCTGCTAGCCATCCTTGTCCGTGAAGAGGCAGCTCCATCCCAAAACTGCCCATAGCGAGGGGAGACCGGGAAATACGGAGGAGAGATGGGGCAGCCCCCAGGGCTTTCCGAACAAGCCCTGTTTTGGAGTACAGGCTGTGGCACAGTCCCGTGCCATGGCATGTGCCCTTCTATGACCACGGAGACTCAGAGGTTCTCTTTTCCTCCAGACCTCGCCAGTACACCTCGGTACGAGCCTCCACACACGTGTGTCCCCAGGAGACACTTGCATTTCTAACCTCTTTTCACTACTTGTCTCCTCCGCAAGGATTATGGGTGACGAGAATAGCTCGTGACAGCGGTGAGGGTAGGGATTTGCGAGGTGGACACGAGGAGCTGGACAAAAAACCAGCTCCTGTCTGTCACGTGGCCGTGTCTGGCTGCCAGGGCAAGAGACCTTGGCTACAACTTGCTAAATAGGAACCATCAGCCCGGCAGAGCTGGCGCTGCCTTTGTGAACCGAATTCCCATTACCACTCAAGTCTTCACTAGCACTTCGGAGCTGTTTTGCAGGACAAGATGTAGCTTGTCCTGAACCTGACTCCAAGAAAGGCTTCCCAAGACACAACATAACCTGTAAACCATGCAGCAGGTACAAAAGCCCTCTTCAAAGCGGTAAAGCCGATGACGGGCTGAACTACACGCAGTCTGCGCAAGCTAGGCGAAGGGAACGGGGGTTTTGAGGCTAACTTGGTATGCAGGCAGGTGAAAGAAACACTCTGCTCTGCCTGAATATTTATTGCCTGCATTGCTGCGCCGAGCATTAGCATGTCAAAGATTGCGGATGAGCTCTGAAGTAAACAATGATGGAGGTGAATGGCCGAAGGTGAGGTTAGCCGCTGTATCGCTGTAGGCGTTTTTGCTGGAAGAGACTGGGAAAGGAAAGCAGAGAGTGAAATTCCAGAGAAAACTATTTCCATACTGGAGACTTCAGTCAGTCTGCAAAATCCTTGGAAAACAAAACAGGAAAATTACGGTAAGACTGTAAACTGCAGATCAACAAACTTGGATTTTCCTGGTCCCCAGGGTCATTGCCAGGTAATAAATGTATATTACCCTGGAATTCAAAACTGGTGCTTAAATTATCTGCAAGAACTCATCTTGTAACAATGCAGGTGTGTGAATTCTTTATAAATTGTGGGTTATATCTTACACCTTTCATTAGAAAACAAAAAAGTCACCACAAGACTGAAAAAAAACCCCCTATAAACAGCAGTGAAATTTAAAAGGAAGGATTTTGGCTGAGCAGAGGCAAGGGTATGAGGATACCATTTTGAAGAAATTTTTAATGTATCTCTGTGTTTGATTTTATTTACTAACCACCTTCTATGATGAAGAGCCAGGTAGGTCTTCAGCAGTATTTTAAAATGAAAGCTGCAGCTCAAGCCAAGAGCATTTGAAGCCCTACAGTGCCGGACCGTGGCTGCAAGGTCTCACCTGCACAGGGCTCCCAGCGGGTACTGGGCCCAGTTGTCTCGTTTACGTTGGTGGAGCTGGTACAGCCAATTTCCCCAGAGAAATTGAGGAAGCACTGTTACTTTTCCAGGCCAACATCAGCAGTGGAAAGCCCAGGTGAAGCTGGAGAGGGA